ATACTCTCGCGGTCGCTGTCCCAGACCAGCGGCAGTGACACTGACGATTTGGTGGTGTTTATCGTTACGTGGAACATGGGCGGCAAGGTTTGTGGCCCGAATGTTCATCTAGATTCCGTTCGGGGACTTGGCGCCGATTCTTGGGGACCCTGCCTGTCCCTTCAAACCATACGATGGATGCGACCTGGTGGTCATTGCCACGCAGGAGTGTGAGCGTCCGATCGAGCGCGGGGTGCTGGCGTGGCATGCTTCGTGTCCCAGGTGGAGCTCGATTCTGCAAGAGCATCTCGGCACGCAGTTTGATTTGGTGGAGCAGGTGGCTCTTGCCTGCACCCACATTGCAGTGTTTTCTCGAAAGATGCTGCCGTACACCAGCACCAAGACTTGCAAGGTGACGCTGGGATTTGGCAACATGGTTGCCAACAAGGGTGCTGTGGCCGTCATGCTGACTCTGGCCTCTGGAAAGAGCATCCTGCTGCTGAATGCCCATCTGGCAGCTGGAGAGGGGCCGGTGAAGCGGAAAGAGCGAAACCGACAGATACAAAAGATCATGGCAGAGACGCAGCAGTTTGGGACGCCAGACTATTACTTTTTCCTGGGGGACATGAACTATCGGGTGGACCAGCCTCGGCAGTGGGTTGACAAGCGGATCCAAGACGCCAACTGGGAGGTGCGCGGCCGGCAAAGTGACTCTAGGAACTGGTTCGGGAAGACGAGCTGCGACAGGACATGCGCACCGAGCCAGCGTTCCGGGGCTGGAGAGAGGCACCCATCAGGTTTGCGCCGACGTACAAAATCGAAGATGTCGACTCGGTTCCGGGCTACTCCAGCAAGCGCATACCGAGCTGGACGGACCGCATCTTGTTTAAAACGCGGCGCAGCTTCTGGAGCACCTTTTGGGACAAGCGGCATCACCAGCGCACCATAGAGTGTCTTGGCTACGACTCTGTCCCGGTCGTGCGGGATTCCGACCATGTGCCGGTCTACGGCAGATTTCGCATTGCCTGATGGCTCCGCAGCGTTTTCTAGTAAACAACCTGCAAGTCTGCACTCTTGAGATGGCTGGAAGAAAAAAAAGTAGCTGAGGTAGGTTTTGATCCTACGACTTCCAGGTTATGAGCCTGGCATACTTCCTGCTGTATCACC